TCAACACATACATAATCCTTTGGTAAATTATAGAAATGTTATTATCAATATCTTTTGAGTAGATGTTAATCAAAGTTAAGGTAACCTAACACCAATATTAACAAAGAAATATATTCTGTATATTCTTCACTTTAGTTTCAAGATAGTAATTTGCAGCATTAAAATGAAGTATAATTTTATTTCATTTAAGTTTTGGATACATGAACCATATATAATTGTGACTAACTCCCACCTACTGCTTTGACATACCACTTGGATATCTTGAGGACATGTAAAATGCTTCAACTAATTTTACTAAAATTATGGTTAGGGATATCTTTTAAAGTAATATAAAAATATTGATAAAAACAACTGATTTGGTGGTGTTGGTGGTGGTAGTGGTAGTAATAATGGTGGTAGTGGTGGTGGTGGTGGTGGTAGTAAGTATAGTAAGAGTAGAAAGTCATTATGTCACCACTGCTGGCATTACTGAAAAGTATTCCTATTATTTATTATAAGTCTATCAGACCTACTTAACCCCACCCTAATCGATCCTAATTGCACAAATGGATGAAGTTTCATTTACTTGATGAAACTTAGAATATAAATATTTTATGAGTCCAAATCTAACTCAGGTTATCAGATTTAAAACATTGAATACACTCAGTGTGTGCATTGAACAAGAAAGAGAGAACAATGAAAAAAAGGAAATTTTATGACTACAATGATGTAAACAGAATATCTGTTGTGAAATTTCTATCAACCCACAACAAAGAAAAAGGCGAGAAGGTTTTTAAATTTTTGTGTTTTTTAACAACCAATTTTTTTTACAGCCCTTGTATGTAGTTGTTTGTTAAGATGAAAATTCACATATATGTGTGAAAAAAGAGGCAAGGGAGAAAGTGATGAAGAAAGTGTAAGTGTCACATAGCTTCCTAAAGAAGAGTGTAGATGTCATATAGCTTGCTGAGGAAGAGTGTAAGTATCACATATCCTGGTGAGGAAAATGGCTGAATTTCATGTAGCTTGGTGATGAAGACAGGCTGACTTATAGTTTTCTTAAAAACTTCTAGAAGAAAATTATTTGATTTTCAATGCTATTCACTGATTCCCTTGACATGAATGCTAATCATTATAAGCCAATATTGAATCATTAAATAGGTTTTTCCAATCTATATGACTGGACTGATATTGGCTTTTCAGCATGCACTTGGATTTTGATAAATTTTGTGATATGCACTGATGTCTCTAGGTACTTTATTCAAATTCTGTTGTACCCAGAGTAGACATAGTGTATTTGGTTACAATTAGCAACTTCTTAAATATGTATTTTTAATCAATTAAAAAGTATATTCTAATTAACTGTGTCAGTTAATAGCAAACATTTCTAGCATACCTTCAGTTATATAGAGTATATTTTTGAACTAGTTATATTTGACTTTAGATCTTGTTAGTTAAATACTGGCTATAGTTCATTCCTTACTGAGTGTTGTGTAAATTTGCTCTTTTGTATCTAAGTTAAAACAATTGATGCAACTTGAACTAATGATCAAGCATCCAGATCTTCACTACAATCAGGACAATAATGTACTTTTATATTTTCTCATGCCAAAAGATCGATTATTAATTTGTTAAAACCGATGATAATTTTAAAGCACTAATTAACATTCCATTACTTTCTGTACATGATTAGGTGAAATTGATTCATATTTCTTGGACCATTTTTGAAAAATTGTTTATTATGAGAGTTAAATAAGTTCTTGGCAATATTAATCTTTTTGTTTTTACTGAGCCAACTTGTAAGTAGTAATGTTCAAAAACTGATAATGACAAACTGAATAATATTTTGGCTATCCTAAATTAACTAAATAATAACAAGCAGAGTAGCATGTGTTTGTACAAGTTTAAATGAATAAGTTACTTTATTACAGTATGATTCAATTAACTTAGTTACTAACTGGAATTGTTTAAAGATATCTATTATCTATACAGCACATAAGATGTGTGGAGCTCTATGAGTTTAGAAGAAAAGTTAATAATTCTGCAGAAGTAGTATCACAAAATGTTCATTGTATAAATAAATTCTTTAAATGAAAGAAATTGCTGAAGATGGTTTGAAACATGGAAAATGGATTCCTCATGATTTGACAGAAGCCAATCATAAAACAAGAGTGGATATTTCTCCCTGAATATCCTTATTTACATTCATTCAAACTAATATTATCAAAATATTTTAGCTGTTGTGCCCACTGACCTTTTGAAATGGTAATCCAGGTAACCTTTACAAAATTTCATACTGGACCCTTTGTTTAGTCTGTGGATGTTCTTGTTTTGCTGTTCATGTCTAGGGATGTTTTTTCTTGTTCTTTTTTAATACTGCTCAGTTATTGCTTGCCCTGTTTTCATTGAGTCTAAGTCTGTACTACTTGACCCAGGGACTGAATTCACAATTATAATACCACCAAATTCACAAACATACTTTCTGTATTTTCATGAATGCATCTCACTATTTTTGGATAGATTAGTGATTGGGTTTGAACAATATATATTTTACAAGAATATAGAGCAATATAAAAAATTATTTAGTAGATATTCACAGGCTATAGCATACATCCATTGATTTAGATCCCTCCCAAATCCAAGGAAAGTTTTCATGTTTGGTGTGGTCTACTTGATAATCATTGATACAATTATAGCAAGCACCTATTGTCAGCAGTTAGTGCTGCCATGAAGGAAAAAGGCCCTGTGTGATTCAGTTTAGAGATATGGTGTTCTATCATAATAATTCACAACCCTATACAGCAAAGATCCTATTAGAAAAGATTGAAGGACTCGGTGGGGAAAAATTCTACACTCCTTATTTTTCATATCTTTCTCTGATTATTACTTATTCCAAAATTTACAAAAAGATTTTTACCGAAATGGTATGAAGCTTGTTAATTTTTGGAAGAAACTAGAATTTATATATACAAGAATGAATTCTGATAAGTTGTGATATTTTTTCTGACCTGGTATGTTTTGAACATTTACTTGTAACCTGATAATATATACAATGTTGTCTTGGAAATTATATTATAGACTTAATATATATTGAGAGTGCTTGAGACTTTATATATTATGTCTATGCAATTTTCCATCTATAAGCCAAAAGAATGGCTACTGGGTCTAGATGGGATCTTTCCTCCTTTTTTTAAGTTATGGTGCACATATTTGTTTTGTTCATGATTAATCTCTGAAATGTAAGGAATGGTAACCAGTTGGCCCCTCTCCACTTTTTGTTATATATATGAATTCATCTCTTTATCCTCCACCTAGACACTAAATAGCACTGTTAATGTAATTCCTGAATATATTGGTTGAACTAATCAGAGGTTGGAAACTAGGATTGATCCTTATATAACAGCAGCTAAGATCTATTGTGGGCAATATGAAAATTTGCATACAATTATTAATATTTCTAGTTCTATGACTGCTGAACACTTAATAAATAATCCAACTTGTGCTTTGTTTTTCACCAGAGACTTTTTCATAGTAATCAGCAGAGTGCATTCAGATTATCACCTGAAAGTTCTTGAGATTACTAAAATAAATGATCTCAAGAACTCTCAGATGATCTAAGAAGACAGAATAGCTACTGGGTCTAAATGTAATCTGTCTGTGGTTTATACTGATGATTCTCTGGTAGTATTTTTTCTTCTGCCTTTTTTACTTGTTGTGCACACATTTATATATTTTCTTCTTGACTGATTTCTGAAGAATGAGAAGTGATAAACAGTTAGCTTTTTTCTTGTTTCTTTTTAAGTTATATTTTTTGCTTCATCATTTTATAGTAAGTAATATTTTTTTTATCTGTGTTCTTCCTCCTTCTTTGTTTTAATATATTTGTATGTATTATGTGAATATATACTTTTAAAATGTCTGTTTTTAAAACCATGATAAATAATTTACTTTTTACTTATGAACTTAGATAAATTTTGTAATAACAAAAATATAGTTTGTGCAATCTTAGTTATTTGGATCTATTTATTCAAATTAGTTTAAATTGAGTCAGATATTTCTTTCAATTAAAATATTATTTGAACTGAGCCTCATTCAGATTTTAGCAATTGTAGAAAGAATTTCTTGTTTTGAATACTATAGAATTCTATAGAATATAAAGGGAGATGATTATTAGCTCCAGGTTTATGATTTTCTATGAACTGATTTGTGAATTTGCTAACATAGCAATTGTGATTTCAATTTTAGGTCTGGGTAGTACAGATTTAGACTGATTGGAAACAGGGCAAGCAATAACTGAGCGGTACTAAAAAGAAGAACATGAGATATCCCTAGCCATAGACAGTGGAACAAAAACAATGTATCCTCCATAAATTAAGTAAACAATTGTCTGAAATTCTCTGAAGGTTATCCAGCACAATGGCTGAAATGTTATGATAATAACAACAAAGATGAGGATATTAGTCTGAATGTAAATAAAAAAGGAAACATTAATTTATCACTTGAATAACAGACTACACTTTTTATTTCTGAAGAATGAAGCAAATGCTTTTTTATTCATTTCACTCCCAAGCAAGGCAATAAAGCCACTAAGATTCAAGGGATTACTGAGTGTAAGAGAATATGAGAAAAAGAAAACATTGTTAAAGATAGAGAACAATAAAAGAACAAGAATTTAGAAGACAGAAGATAATGATTGACATTGCATTTAAATCTAATTTAAATGAACTTAATTTAAGTGCAATGGGAGAAGACAAAATTTCTGTTGTCTACATTTTCAAGAATAAGTGATTGATTTAATATGGACATAATAATAAAACTAATTCTCCACTGCATGCTATCAGATGTAATAATGCATAAATTTATAAATGCAAATACTCATCATATCTAAACTATCAAATGATAATTCCATATAAATCTATTTCTGTAATTATAATCCATTTTCTTTTAAATAAAAAAAACAACTGCTATACATATTTTAAGTCCACAAACTAAAATCATCTTGATTTTTCTTTTATTTTCAGCACTGGCATTTTCTGGCAAGATTCTGTTTTCTGTCAGGAGAAGATCAAAATCGTATTGGCTCAGTCGACTACAATTTCACATTTCCAGCTGTAAGTCTCATTGGCTTCATCAAAACATCTTCATTACTTATCAACATAACAAGATTAAATTGTGTACATAATAGATTTTACTTTGAGTCACTGAAAAACAAATTGTATACTCTGCTTGGCTGCATTGCACTTATACATGTTATAAAGGAGAATGATGACTTCTCTTTAATATAAAACAGTTTTTTCCTAATTTCATTTGAGTCAATGATTATGTATGATTTTATATTCTGAACAATTTTGTTAAATGAGTCTTGTAAAGATAAGATTGCTTTTGGTGAAAAAAAAATAAAATAAAGCAAAAGACACATTATTGGCAGCAGTTGAATGATAAATATATGAAAGATAAAGTATAATAATTCCATTATACAAAATCTGGATATGACTTCTGTATCTGCTGAGTTTAACTTCAAAATTAATTGTTTTTATGATTCAGGCTGAGCTTTTATTTTTTATAGATTTATCATTTAAATGTTGGTTTGATTTTTGTATGTTAACCAAACTTATATTTTGTTTTCTCTTCAAAAATAACCAAAATTATATTATTAATCTTTTGTGCATTTTATTTTTAGTTTTCAAAATTTCTGATATTTTGAAATATTTATAACACTTTAGATATCTAGTTATAACATACAATCTGTTTTTTTGAAAAAATCAAAATAAAACACCAAATTTGAATACAATTAAGTAGCTATTTTGAACAAAAGTCATATTTCTAGTAATGAAAACAAATTATAATATTAAAAGGCAGTAATCATGTTAAAAACTTGATTCATAAGTTTAATATTTACTGCAAAGAATTGAACATTGAAATTAACAAATGCTTGAAATACACAGTCCTAATTACTCTGAAAAAAAGGATTTATAAAAAAATGAACAATGCTACATCAATGTTGAAACCCTTTTAGAATTGTAAGCCACTCTAAATAATGTTTAGATACCTCTACCTGTTATATTTTATAACTATTGGGAAGTATTTAGGATTACACAAAGTTTGTTTTAATCAGTTTAAGATTTGCAAGTTTTTATGTATTTTCTTTAATAATTTAATTAACATTTTTTAAAACTTATTACTTGTTTAAAAAGAATTTGTAAATAAGTGTCTACTTTTTAAGCTTGATGATTTCTGCTGCAAAATCTTGTGTCCTTTTGTGATTGAATTCTAAACTATTATGTTTAAGTTGATTTATCAATATAAATATATTTTATATAGTACAGTTTGAAAGAGCATTGAAACAAAAATTAAAGACACTCCATACTTTTAACTTATACCCTAGCTGGTTAAAGTTCAACCTGCAAAGAAGCAAAATGTATTATGCTGTTTCAACAAATCAAATCTACATTTCAAATCTATATTCTAGAAAGATATATCTCTCACTGAAATACATGGACAAATCTGAAAATATTTTTCTAGATACATATGGAAACTTTAAATCTTATATTTTACATATGTGTGAACAGAGTCTGTTGAACTTTTAAATCTTCTTGGGAATTTCAGTTATTCACCTGATTCACTGTTCTAACTACTAACACTTACACCATTTTGAGGCTGGATAGACTGCATAACATCTTTAAAAAATGTCATTGAATAGAAAACAATCACTTTTGTTTTTATTAAAGGGCAAAATGTAATGAGAGCAATGAAGGGATAACCTTTCTGAGATCAAATGCCAAATGTTATGTCCTGTAAGCAAACAATATAGAGGGAGGATATATTTTGATTAATTCTTTATTTACTTCTTTAATTTATTTGCCAAGAACTGTAAGTGTAGACTTCATTAAAAAGTGAAAACAAGCAGCATCACCTCTATGCTTTAACTGGTAAGCTTTAGAAATTAGATTCAAACTAAGATCAGGAGATACAAAATTTATTTGTTTGGGTTTCATCAAGTGTTCTGTGAGTGAAGATTGTGATAGGACAAAAATGAAAAAATGTTGTCTATTAACAAACAAGGAAGAATAATTGGATATTTAATGTATTTGATTTACATTCCCTATTCTAATTACAGTAATGAGAAGACAGCCAGGTGCATTGACAGTTTTTAAAAAAGAGCAACATTGACTAACCAATAAGCCTGTAGAACCTGAATTCTATGATATTCCAATACCCAAAAATATTTTGGTCAAATCTGTGCAAAAGGTGGATCACAGAACACTTTCATCTCCATACACTTTCAAAAAATCTCGAGCACTCATTGGTTAATAAATATACAAGTAGGCATGACTATCCACTCATGCTTAACTAATTTTTACAGCTTGTGAATGAAAAGTTCACGCCAAGTCTCAATGAGACACCCGAAACAAATAAAAACAGAAACTCATTCACACTCTCCAGTGAGCATTGTGACATCAAACGAATTGCAATTAAACTTCACATCACACAATCGTAAGTTTTTCCTCCATACGAACATTATACAAACTTAATGATATTCACACTCACTCACCAAAACTCACCAGTGAACTCTATTCCCATTCACTCACCAAATTCCTTACACAGAACTTAAACAAATTCCTGCTAACAAATCAATTTTATTTCTCAACATTTGAGAATATTGTATTATACAAAACAATCAAAGGTGGATAACTTCTTTGATCGCAAAATTGCATTCAACTTTACAAACATTTACTACTTACATGAACAGTAAATTCTTAAATGTAAATTTTTCTCTTGCAATTAATTTACAGAATAAAAGATTCTAACAAACATTCTTTCAAATCAGAACTCATTAACAAAATTTAATCTTTCACCAAACTTGAGTTCAACATAAATTAAACTAACAAGATTTCATCTTAAAAAAATCCACTAGATTTTTGTAAAATATTTTCATTATAAAAATATATTGAAAATTACTTGTTATTCAAATATTTGCCTTTTGTCTTTTATCACAAATGTTTCTTGTTGTTTTCACATTTTGCTTAACATATTCATAGAGTAAAAAATTGTATGGATTGATTTGGGCCGTCAACACCATTAAATAAATGGTAACCACCAAACTTTTCACTACAAGCCTAAGTGAAAAATGATGATGAGTTAATTCTATCAAATAGAAAAGTCAAATTCATTATATTTGCCCACCCTTCAATGAATAAATATAAAACTGTATTTAAAAATTTGTACCATTTCTCTTTTTCATATCTAAAAACTAAAAAGATCTCTGTACTCAGTCTAATGTAACTATAGCTTGCTTCTTAAGTTACTTGCTTAACATCCAAGCAGTATTTCAATTGGAAATGTATCTAAGCTTTTTGATTTAGTTGCAACTGGAAAATATTTTGTTATTTTTTCTATTGTATTTATTTCCAAATATTTTTCTAGATTATAAAGATGGATTTGCATAATTTTATTCTCAAAAGAATGACATTCAAATAATTATTTTCTGTTGATAAAGATATAAGTACGTGTTTCCAGCTATATGAAGATAACCTTTGTGAGTTCTGTGAACCTTGTTTCAGAAAGATACAATCCTCCTCTGTACTTTAGAAGAGCCAATTATTTCATCCATACACTCTTCTTTTCTACTATAGTAGTTTCATACAGCATGATAGTCAGTCTTTGTGCCAGATTTGAGATTTATGAATCACTCTAATTTAATGATCCAGATAATTTGACAAGAAACATACATATGGTATATTTTTCCAACATATTTCATGTTAATTTTATAGTAAGTACATTTTATATGCAACTGTAAGTGTATTTCATTGTGATATCCTTTCATAAGCTTATATTACTTAACTATTAAAACATGCCAGCCAGCTTGGTTATCTGTAATCAAATTCTGTTAATGACAAACACCAATATCCTATTCTTCTGATGCTTGTTTTTTTATTGTCACATTAAATATTTCTTTATTCTATCATTTACATTTCTTGACACTATAGTTTAGAGTCTATTTTACTGAAACAAAATGCCCATTATTCTTTTTATTCCTAAATTACATTTCAGAGCTATGAAGGCATGGAGCTATACTTTTATTTTGATGACCAATGGAAAGACGTTTACAAAACTGACAAGGTTAGTTTTTATTTTTGCCTTATAATTATATAGGTATGAAAATAGAATAATTTCTTACAAAAATTGAATTGTTTCAAAAAAGTAGTCAGTGCTTGAATTCAATTTCAGCAATCTGACTCTGCAATCATTTATATTTTGCATAAAGAGAAATTCTATTCAATGCTAAAAATGTAATTTGTCTTGGTGGAATAAAAGAGGAATAAAATGTTACATGGAAATTTGTCATTCATTTTTCAACTATTTATTTTCTACAATTTATGATTGTTTTTTTTTTCATAACTTTCTAACTTGATCAGATGAATTAAATCAAAATAAATAAGTAGCTTCTATTGAGACTAAAATTCCAGGAGCTCATTTTTCATGGATAACATCTTAAACAGTTTCTGGCTAGACAGTATATTGAACCAACATAGTCATATATCCACTAAAATTCTTCAGACTATACTTTTGTTTAGTACTTATTAATAGTGATAGTCTTAAGCTATTTGAATAATATATATATTGCTGATACCCACTGATAAAGTAGACAGAGATTTCTATGAAATTCTATGTGACAAACTTTATATTTGTATTAATTCCATATATATATATATATATATATATATATATATATATATATATATAGAGAGAGAGAGAGAGAGAGAGAGTGAGACAGACAGACAGACAGACAGATCAAGTATGGATAGAAATCTGACAAAATGATAGGATAAAGAACTTCTATGTTCAGACATTGTGTTAATGTTGAAAGTACTCAGAATAAAATGGATATGCATCAACATGCTAATTTTCTTTCTTCTTTTAATAAAGATTCTAAGAAACTTGTCCATAATTACAAGAGGATCCTATTCAAAAATAAGTAGACAAAACTTGTCTAAATTATTTAATGAGACATGTCTTAATATGTATATATATGTGTGCAAAGTTTAGTTGAATTATGTCATTTACTCATCCCTTTTCAAAGATGGTGGAACTGTAACAAACCTTCTGTATCTTTCCTACAGAATTTGAATTATTATATTTCTATCTTTTGACCAATGAGAACTCTTGAAAAAGGATGTTACATTTTTCTGACATTTGCAATTGATCTCCTTTAGACAAACTGAAGGATCAAATTATTGCAAAATATTTTTCCCTCTTGAATTGTTGAGCAAAAAATTATTAAAATATATTTTTACCCAATGATAAGTTAAAAAAGTAATTCTTAATTTTTTGTCCTAGTTTGGAGTCTATTATTTTCTATAAATTTTGATAACTAACCTTCTTAGTTATTCAGTAAAAGTTTCATTTTGCAACTTTGCCAATTACTCATGTTCAACATTGTTCAACACTGAGTGATATCTATACAACACTTATAAATATTTTATTTCCTTTCATTTTTATTATTGGAATTGTTTATAATAAATACACAATTTGTATTATCTTTAGAGTACCACTACTACTACTACTACTACTACTACTACTACTACTACTACTGGTATCAGCTTTCAATGTAAACATAATCTTATGTATCAAAATTCATATACATAAAAAAGGAAAGTTTTTCAACATACACAGATACAAATAAAATATATGACATTTAGCTTATCAAGATTGACAATATTTCTTGTTTTATTTCGATGTAATTATACCACTCTGTTTATGAACATTTTAAAATATAAATTTATTAAATATTTAGAAGTGTTTCATCTTTCATTTTTCCAGTTTATTCATCTACAAAATTTGGTAACCTTTAACAGAAGGAATAGCAACATATATAGAGCAGATATACTTTTCTTATTAAAAGGAAAAGTAAAAAAGTAACAGAGGCTTGAAGAGACCACATGAAAAGAAAGAAGAATATAATCAAAAGAAAATTGAGTAATGTTTTGTTAATAATTGAAAAAATATCTTGTGTTGATTTAATAATTTATACTTCCATCTTAAACAAATTGTTCATATTTTGACAATTTTAAAACAAGAAAAATATTGATTTTTGTTTTGTAAGATTTTAGCTATTATCTCATTTGTTTAAAAAGATGTTGAAATCTTTTTGTCTTGCAAAGTAAAGCCAATTAGTGATCAATGGAAGCCATATTTGACTCATAGCTGTTGACTTCTTTAGCTTGGGCTTATTGTTACTATGGTTATATGTTTCCTTGCTGTATCATGAATTGCTGAATGTGTTGCAACGTTTTCCTCTTCTTTTTTCCTAATTTCTTTTTTCTTTTATTCATTGTTCTTTTCATTGCATTTCTATTTCCTTCTATTTATTCCCTCTGTCTTTTTTTTCCTTTCCTCTTTTATGTTTCTTTGCAACCTTTTCTCTTTAACAAGGATACCAATCTCTTGATTAGTTTTTAATTACTAATATGGCTTCTATGCTATAAATGAAGGAAATAAAACTAAGTCAAAAACATTGCCAATCAGACAATTTATAACAAAGAAGATAAAAGTAATTAGTTAACCAACTGTGACAACTTGTATGCCTCCTGTTTACCATGGTTGATGCAGCTATGCAGGTACTTATATTACCCCTCACCTCTGATATGTTACCCTTAAATATTCTTCCTAATGGTAATCATAATGGCAAAGTTAGTCACAAAACCTTGATTATATCATTAATTTCAAAGCAAAACTTTCTGCTTCATCAGCAGATGTTAAGGATGTAAGGATTTGGTAAAGTTTGGGTTTCTGTTTTGTTAAAGTTCACCACAAGGCTGACGTTGGAGGTTTTCTTCGGTAGGCAATCATGTGGGGTGTATCACAACCAGTGGCTGGGATGAACTCTCTATCATCTCTCCTGTCTCGGATCTACGTCTCCATCTTCATCTGAAAAATTCGTTTTGTGCATTTGTATTTATTGACTGGCACAAGGCATGGTGCATAGGGTGATATCTGCAAATCCCCTTTGTTGTCAGCTTACTTCATAATTTTGGGGAAATCTCTTCTTCCACTCTGTCATTATTACCTCTCATTAAATCTCCTCAGTGAGTGTGGGTGGCTTATCCACTTCCTTCTGGTATTTCAACTCTTTTGACCAGAAGAAATCAACTCCAAATTTGTTGTTTATGAAAATGAAATTTTCACTTTACAGCTTGCATTTTCAGCTGTGTAGAACACCACATGTCAGTCATCATTGCCCTCTAAGTCTGGGTCATTTTCCATTGTTCAAACCCTTGACACACCAATTCCAGGTGTTGTCTATATGTGAATTAAATTATCAATCTTTTCCTACGGATTTTAGGTATTAACCTTTCTTGTTCCAAAATCTTTCAGTATATTGCTCCTTCTCTCTATAAGAAAACTTTCCTATATTTTACTGTGGTAACAACAAATACTATCACACACACACACACACATACATATATATATATATATATATATATATATATATATATATATATATATATATATATATTAATTATCTACTATACTGCATTCAACTCGATCTTGAAATTTACTTTGTGAATAACAACAAAAGTACATACATAATATGAAATTGATTTTATTAGATATAAAATGATAAAAATAGCATTATTATTATTATTATTTTTATTTTTATTTTCTTTAATTTCTGGCGTTTACACATTTTTTTCCGGGTCCCGCCCAGGGACCTAAGGTTAGAGATGGCGTCATGACACTTTCCACTGACAAAAAAAAAAAAAATAAATAAATAAATAAAATAAAATAAATTAAATTACATAGATAAAGCCCTTCGTAAGGTGTGGGCTGTACTTGTCAGAATAATTTTTTGTATCACCTTGAGTCATGGACTTCCAGGAATCCCTTCAATTAGTCTACTGCAATCTTTTCCAACCAGTCCTAGGGCTCCAACTACAACAGGGATTGTTGATGTTCCCATATGCCACATTTTTGAGATTTCTATTTCAAGGTCCTTGTACTTTGACAACTTTTTGAATATTTTCAAAGATACATTGCAGTCAACAGGGACTGCCATATCAATAAGGAGGCACCGTTTTTGTTTGTGGTCTTTAATAACAATATCTGGCTGGTTGGCCTTGATTGTTCTGTCAGTGTGTATTGTGTAATCCAATAGAATTGTAACAGGTCCTATCTCTGTAACTGGGTCTGGGTGGTGTTCATACCAGTTTCTTCCAGTTTCCTTCCCGTAGAAGTTGCAGATTTTCCAGTGCAGATATTGGCCCACTCTGTCATATCGGGTTTTATATTCAGTGGGTGCCAACACCGTACAACCTGATACAAGATGATCAATCGTTTCTGGATATTTATCACAGAATCTGCATTTTGGGCTGACACAATATTTTAGTATATGTGCTTGATAATTCCTAGTTAGCAAGCATTGGTCCTGTGCAGCAAGGATAAAACCTTCAGTTTCCGCTTTCAACCCTGCACTACGTAGCCACTGATGGGTACGGGTTTTGTCTACGTCAGCTTGTTTGGTACAAGCAGAGTATTGGCCATGAAGCGGTTTATCCTGCCATCGCTTCTGTAACTGGTCGGTTGCATTCGTCTTTGCTGTCTTTTTTAGGTATTTTGCAGTTTCAGCTGGTGTATTGGGCTGTAGTTGCACCTCTGCGCCCATTTGAAACTCCATTTTGAATTTGTTGGCTTCTTTCATTACGGAGTAGAGACGCTTACTACTTTCATGTTCCTTGACACATACCATCATCCAGTCTTCTGTAGTTTCCAAATATCTTTGGAGGCCAATTGTTGTAGTTTTGTAGGACAATTCTAGTTGAAGTAATCCTCTGCCTCCTTCGGATCTGGGCACATACAGACGATCAACATCAGCTTTGGGATGATGCATGCGATAGCAAGTGAGAAGCTTTCTCATTTTGGCGTCCATTCGCTTAATTTCAGCTATGGTCCAGTTAAGGACATTAAAGCTGTATTGCACCACAGGGACAGCCAATGTGTTTATGGCTGGTATCCTGTTTTTTGAGTTTAGCTCAGTATTTAGGACCAAACGTACACGTCTGTAGTATTCTTTTCTTATTTTTTCCTTCATTTGGGGGTGTTATATGCCATCTCCTTCGCTA